AATAGGTGTTTTAAGCCCTAAGCCCTAAGAAATTGACCAATCACAGTCAATTATTCTCCTCAAATTCAACTGTGATTGAACCATTTCTTAAGGCTTAGGGCTTAAAACACCTATTGAAGATGGGCACTTAAAGCAAGGTTGTAGACCCGCACTTACGTGCAATGGCCTTATGCCACAGGTATGGTTATACTGTAGTATGGTCTAGTTTACACCGATTGACACCGATCTCTTGATACGCGTATCAAATAGTATATTTGAACTAATCAGCCAATAATCAGACTTATTTACTAGTTATTTATTATTTAATACGCGTATCAAATGGTCGGTGTAAACTAGGCCTATATTATTTGGCACGCACAGACTACGCTTTCGCATTTTCCGCTGCATGGGACATTAAAAAACAAATTTATGCGGATCGGAATCACACGTATGTATGTACATATACATCATGCAATACATCTTTCACATTAACAAACTCCATTTATAACTTACAAAATTGGTCGCGTTCAGCAAACCAAGCCGCTAAGTAGCAGTCGAACATGATTGGCTCTTACTTTTAGAACCAAACAATCAACGCAGAGTGTTGATAAGACGAACAGTTGTATCTGCTGAACGCGCCCATATTGTCACCAATTGCTACAACATTCAATCGCTAAAAATGAATTCTGAAAAATTGTTTGTTATTATTTGCGTATTATTAAATAAATTAAAACAATGTTGGTGTCTATTTAAAACAAGTACTACGCAGTAAAATTATAAAATTATTACCAGTGAGAAAAAGCGTTTCAAAACAATTTTTAATTATAATGATTGACGATAATGATAACGCTGAGGAATATAAAGTTTTTGTCGAGTCAATTGATTCTGATAGATTTTTTCCCGTAGAATAAGTAGTACTGTAAGTAGATGTAAATTGGTAAAGCGTGTATAATAGATATAAACACTGGATAAACTTATTCGTAAGGGTAATGTGTCATAATAAAAATATGTTTTGTTTGAAAATAACTTGTATTTGTTTGAAACTAAATATACCTAAGTACAATAATATAGTCATACTTAATATTAATGTAATAAAAAATACAATTGTAATAATAAAAATAAATAGATATAATAATAACAATAACGTAGTAAAAAAAGCTTCTTTTATATCAGATAGCAGATTAATTGCATGAACATAAAGTAAATATGATTTATTTAATTGTTATTGGTTATTTAATTTATCTTGCTCTTCCATGAGCATAGCAAGGAATTTCATTTCTAATTCGGTTCGCTTTCTGTATGGTAGTTTCCTTAAATAATCCTTCTCCGAATAGAAGTAAAAATCCATCAACTCCGTCAGGTCGTTTATATTGGTTTCGTGTAATGTTGCGATAACGATTTCGTAAAATTCGTCGTTCGTCTTGCTCAGGCTGGGTTCGTCTTGACGCTTTCAGTGCTGTAAGCATCATTCTATCTTTGTTGCACATCGAACATCAAACGAAGATAGAGCGATGCTTTCAGCGCTGAAAGCGTCAAGACGAACGCAGCCTTAATCTGTCTGACTTTCTTTCTAAAATATTATTAATTTTCAACGCATAAAATAAATTTATTAAAATGTTTAATAAAGTAATATATAGAACCGTACTTTTACTTAAGTTTAATTCAATTTTTCCGGAGTTTTATGGCACACACAAGCAATAAGTTTGATACATTGCTGCTCGCATTGCTGCTCGCATTGCTGCATGTTGGTTGGGGCACCAACACTGAGTCTTCACTAACTTCAGTTAACATACTTTCATCTTCTTCATTGTTTTGAACGTTTGATAGTAGACTAGTATGTACATACATGTTCTGAAGAGAAAAACAGCACTTTTAATATCGGATCGGGTCTTAACAAAGAATAGTCAAAAACCTTGGAGAAAAATTCTATTGCGTGGATACTAATTTCAAGTGTCCAAGAGGACTAAATAAAATAACCAAGTCAAGTCTGTAGTAGTGTCTCTGTATTTTAAATATATTGACTTTTTAAACAATGTATATATTAAAATTATTATTAAACTTACAAAGATTTTCCTAAAATATCATCCAAAAAGTTATTTACAACTTTCTACATCTTTTTACACAGCATTAAACAAGTTTTCATGACGTAAAAGACATTTGAATTTTTTATGTCAATATATTCCCTGTATAATACGTGGCTAATATTTCATTTAGCATGGTGAATCCATAAAAGATTTAATACTATTTTTTCTATTTTTATGAAAAAATACAAGTTGTATTAAATTATAATAAATTATAAGAAATATTTACTATTTTCTATATTTTACAACAATTATATTGTAAATTGACGTTTTTTAATGCTTTAAATAATCATAGAAAATTTTACTTACATATTGAAAATTATCTATTTGCATAAATATACTAAAAAAAGAACTAGGGTAAACCAGCCAGTGAATGAACGGGGCCCAGCTAGCAAATGAACAAAATCACTTATATTTTAAATATGAAAAAAATTATAGGTCGAAGATAAATGATTTTGTGCTGAAAATTAAGAGAAAAATTCACAGGTGGCGTTGAGATCAATGTCACGGTTATAAACAAAGTGTCGACTTAAGGAGAAATATTTTCATGCTTTATGACGTGCAAGCTAATAAGAGGTTAATTTTGGAGAGGTTGCGATTTTACGTTTGAATAAGCGTTATAATTGATTTTCGAAGGTAAATATTGCATCATATAAGTAAAGCTAGAGTCAATAATTTATTTTGTCAAACATTTTTCTGTAAATTCGTAAAAATACGCTAAATATAATGATGTCTATTCACTGGTGTGATTTTCTAACCTTTTCCCCAGTGAATGAACATGTTGGCTCTATTTTAGTAATTAGGTAGTTTCTAGATAGTAATATATAAATTGACTTGACATTTTTAATTTTTGTCTTATTTTTTTGTGAAATTGCAAAATAACTGGTCAATATTTATATTTATTTATTTATGTCTATATATTTCTTTAAATTTTATGAGTATTGTAGTTACTGAATAAAAAGAAAATCTCACCAATGATATTATTGTTCATTAGATGGCATCGGCAAAAAAGAAAGGCCCAAAAAAAGTATATGAAAGATTTAAATATACAGAAAAAGATATGGAAGAGGCTCTGAAAGCTGCTCGGAGTGGTATATGTCAATCTCCACCGCAGCAGCAACATATAATGTTCCAAAATCAACATTGCATGGCAGATACACTTGCAAAGTTCCTAATCAGCGTAAGTTGGGACCCAAGTCGATACTTAGGCAAGGCTCAGGTTGGCTTTCCTATGCACCCAGACGAGGTGAAGGATGCTGTACAACGTGTCATCGAAGAATGTCCACTTTCCACCGAAAATCCATTTAAAAATAATAGACCTGTTGAAAAATGGATGGATCTATTTCTAAAAAAGCATCCAGAAATTCGTAAAAAAAATACAGAAATTATTTCGAAGGCTCGTGCGTCACCGAAAAAGGACTACGACAGTGGTTTGCTGAAGCGAGAGCCTTTTTGGAAGAAAACGATGTGCTTGATATTCTTAACCATAGAGATATAAGAATAGAGTGCGCAAGCGAGCTGAAAAGGCGATAGAGGAATAGAAAGAGAACGCTGCATATGGGCCCCTGCTGTCTTTGTCTATGCGCGCATGTGCAGTGATGTGCAGGTCATGAAAGATTGTACCTCGGTATTCTCGATGTTTTATCTCGTTCTATCTCTATGTCATTTTTAGCTAACCTTCTTCTTATTTAAGCAAAAACATTTTAAAATGACAAAGAAATGCTTGATATGTAAAACAGAAGCATCTCCTAATTCCAATTGTAGTTTTCACACGTAAGTACATATTAATATCTCTAACCTCAAAATTTAATTAATTTTCAGTGGACAATAGCAAAACTGTATACTTTTATAAATATTTAATAATGTGCATTTGATATTATATTGTTTGTAGTAAAATTTTTATTTTTTTATTTTTTTATATTTTATTTCTTTGTGTTAAATAATAAGACTAATTTAAAAGATTTAATTTTTGTGTTAAAAGAATTTAATCTTTGTGTTTAAAAAATTTAATTTTTGTGTTAAATAATAAAAGACTGAATAGAATTCTATTCTATTCTATGATTAACATTGTATAAACAACATGTAATAAATTTTGTTTTATTATTATATATATTGAGTATATTTATATACAATTCCATATTCAATTCCATATTCAAAAAAAAGTAATATTTTATGGTAATACTATGTACTTTGCTGTAATAATTTGGTAATTTTGGGAATTATTATTTAAGGACATATTTTCAAAAGGGTTCAAGAGGTTAGAACATAAATGCGTTATTATAGGTTATATCTCTACATGCGTTATAGACACTGAGCAGCGCAAAGACGCATGCGTGCATAGATAAAAACAGCAGGGGCCCATATGCAGCGTTCTCTTTCTATTCCTATATCGCAGTCTCTTACGTGCGAGCATATGACTCGCGCACTCTATTCTTATATCTCTATGTTCTTAACAGACCTCGCAGCATATGTAACTGTAAGGCTGGTTTCACATGGGGCGTAAGATGCGTATGCCTAACTTGCGTCAGCCAATCAAATCGTCTCGGTATTTAATCGTATCATACGCGTATAGTAACTGAGATGATTCGATTGGCTCACGCAAGTTACGCATACGCATCTTACGCCCCATGTGAAACCAGCCTAAGAATATCGTTACGCCGTGATTGAATGAGTCTTATTATGTGATTGGTCGCTTGAAGTACTGATGTGCGCCGTAGCGTTCTGCGCAGGAAGGAACGCCTGGATTGGCGAAAAGTGAGAAAGAACAGTGAGTGAAGACAGTCGTTGTTGGACGCTAGACACGTACGCGTCTTTGTGCAACTCTCGAGTAATAAAAATTACCTTGTTCCTTCAATATATCAAATATCGTCTTTCACCTACTATCATCCTTATCCTGACATCTCCCCGCGACACATATCGTGGTCAGTGCCGTAAACTACGGTGCGTAACAACAAGAACAGAAATAAACTCTTTACATAACGGTGACGAGACAGGTGTGCAAACATGCCCGAAAAGTGGTTTGTTATTAGGCCCAAAAAGCGAGAAAAATTTCTATGTAATTGCGAACGGCAAGGAAAAAGAGTGCATAACGGTTCTCTGCACGTTTTTTGCTGCTGGTGAGGCAATACCACCGATGATCGTATTTCCCTATAAAAGAATTCCGGTACACATTGTCCAATCAGTCCCAGACGGGTGGCCAATTGGTCGGTCAGATAGTGGTTGGATGATACACGCCACATTCTATGAATATGTAGCCAACGTTTTTTATCCATGGTGCGTAGGAAATAACGTACAATTCCCGGTGCTATACTTCCTTGATGGACATAAATCTCACATCAGTTTGGCACTTCGAGATTTCTGTGTCGAACACGCAATCATTCCCTACTGCTTGCCGCCTAATTCCACTCACATAATGCAACCGTGCGACGTTACAATATTTAAACCATTGAAAGCACATTGGAAAAAAGTAGTGTACGAACACAAACAGCAAACGCAGAAACCAATTACAAAAGCAAATTTTGCTTTGTTATTCAAAAAAGCTTTTGACCGTCTATTACTTAAAGTAGAAACTATTCAGAATGGCTTTAAAACTTGCGGATTGTATCCTTTCGACGAGAATGCGGTTAATTATAGTAAGTGCATTTCCACTAGGAGAGCCAATCTTCAACAAATGTCATTAAAATCCATCTCGACACAGGACTTTGCTTCAACAAAGAAAGTCATAGAGCACGTTATTGGACCTGCAAAAGCCAAATTGTTTGCAAAAATGAGAAATGCAATCCAAGGCGAAAATGCTACCGATCCTCTCTTTACGCTGTGGACAATTTTTACCGATCATGTTGAAGATACACATAGGTATGTCAAACGACGAAGAAAGCATTCCCAACACTCTAGTACAGGCTCAAGAAAATGTCATTCTGATCTCGGACGATGCAATATTGCAAGAAGTTGAGAATTCTATCTCGTTTCCCTTCGAAGAATTGACGGATCTTAATTGTAAGTCAGGTCTATCATCCCCAATTAAAAAATTTTTTGCTTGAATATTTTACACATTTTTTTGTACAGACTTCGTGCATTTTTATACTACGAAAGTTTGAGTATGGTGCGGTTAATCAGACAATTAATAACTTTAATATTCTACATCAAATAACATTTCTTCTTTTCAATCAAAATTTACAATTATAATAAAAAATATATGAATTTTATTTTGTAAATACATGATAAAAATAAAAAATAAATACAGTAAAAATATATGAATGTGTATTTTGAGTCGATCGCTTATTACCTATTTCTTTGTTTCTATTATGCATTTTCAGCGGATTTGCCAATATATAAGATTGTTATGGAGGATTCCACTAAGGAAGAAAGAAAGATGATTGATAGCGAGTATACACGACTAGTCTTAGATGAAAATCGGAACAACCTGGAGGAAAATGATGAAACTATTGTCAGCGAATGCATAGTAAATATCTTACATAAAGAGAATAATAATTTGAGAATCCATGAAACAAATATAGAGAAAGAGAGTCATTCCGATGGAAATAACAAGATTGACGAAAATGAACGCGCATCAAGCACCACTCATCAGCAAGAAAATGCTCCATTGGAAACTTCGACTGAAGAGGAAAATAACTTGCCAAATGAGAATCAGAATAAGAAGTATAATATGTCACAAGTTGCATTATCTAGTCGAGGAAACGTACCCATAGAAAAAATATGGGAAAAGCATCTTAAGGGCCAATTTCACCAACCACAGTTAGCTTAACCGACGGTTAAAGTTAGCAGGATTGACCAATAGAAAGCAGGGTGGATTCATTTCTATTGGTCAATCCTGCTAACTTTAACCGTCGGTTAAGCTAACTGTGGTTGGTGAAATTGGCCCTAAGTGGCCCGAGTTCGAGAAAAAAGACCAGAAAGTCAATCAAGAACCAAATTTTTAAAAAAAAAATTACCATACGCAACAACATCTTCAAAATGGAAACATTATTACGAATTGATAAAACGAGAGCAAGAGGAAAAAGAAAGAAAAGCTGCGGAACGACTTGTCAAGCAAAACATTAAAAAAGAATCGGTTGAGGCTGCAAAAACAGAAAAAAGAAAAGCAAGGGCTGAAAAAGCGAAAGAGAAAGAAAAGAAGGAAAACATTAAAAAAGAATTGGTTGAGGCTGCAAAAGCAGAAAAAAGAAAAGCAATGGCTGAAAAAGCGAAAGAGAAAGAAGAGAAGGCAGAAATGAAAAAAAAGCGAAAATTGAAAGAGAGCAGACTTCAAAACCAAAGACACGACAACGTGCAATTAAAAAAACGTCCCTAGCTACGTAAGTGGAGATAATGTATAAGAAATAATGTATAATAAATATAATATAATAGATGTGTGTATAAGTATCTCTTTCATATCGTTTGCCTTCGAGATACCTAAAACTATTCTCAAGAGTAAAGAAACCAAAAAAGCTTTATGTTAGGTTAGGTTAGATTAGCTTTGTGATACATAGGTTTATACTTTATAGTATTATTCCAGTGCAAAAATAACATTCTGTGATTGTTAAAATATAATATTTAACTTTAATTATTAAGACATTTATATACATTAGTAGGTATATATCTACATGGAATACGTGTTCATTCACTGGTAAGCAGCCGTTCATTTACTGGCAATTTTGTTCATTCACTGGTATATCGGTCCTTTTGTCACTTAATTTCTATTTATTTTCTAAATGTTTTATTCTGTGAATGCACTTTTAATATTTTTTTTTAATAATCAGTATGATATATTGAATCAACTACATCGATGCTGAAAGTGATACGGATAATAATTTTATTTCACGTCTCTAATGAATAGGAGACGCTGCTTATTTGTTCATTCACTGGCTGGTTTACCCTAAACTAAAACTATCTTTATTGCTTATAGTCCAGTCAAAATACGGAAAAAAGGGGGGTACCTAGAAAAAATTGCAACGCAAGGTTTTATTACGTCATTGTGTTCAGAAAAATATACTGAACAACATATTCAAATTCCGCCATTTTCCGCTATCCCTAAGTGTGTTTCTTATTAACAATTTATAAACAAATTCGTTTTTCTCCACAAATACGATGAATTTGAAGTTTTTGTAGAGATCAAAGTTGTAGAGCAGACACATATCTACAAAAAATGTTCTTATGAATTTTTTGAAATATCTCATATTATTTGAGATATTTGCAACAAGAGCTACTAGGCTACGCGCGGAGCGGAGCGGAGAGTTCTAACAAGCACACGGCAGTCTCTACCGGTCGCTGCTAGTTCTGTAGGTTCTACAAGGAACTTGAGTTGCGGTTCTTGATACTAGTATATGTGTCTATGTATACACACACAATATATATATCTATATATATAAAACAAAGTCGGGTTAGTTACACCATTTATAACTCAAGAACGGCTGGACCAAATTTGTATTAAAACCATATAAAATAGGGGGTAGAATTTTCCGGAATAGCAGAATAACTAATAAAATATCAGAAAAATTCACGTAAAAAAAAATTAATCTAGAAAGATATCCAAATACATAGAAAAAATACATAGAGGGAGGGAGGGAGAGAGAGAGGGAAAGAGGGAGGGGAAAAGAGAAAGAGAAAAAGAGGGGGAGAAAGAGAGAGAGAGAGGAAGAGAGGAGAGAGGGAGAGAGGAAGGGGGAGAGAGAGAAAGAGAAGGAGAGAGAGAGAGAGAGAAAGAGGGAGAGAGGGAGAGAGGGGGAAAAAGAGAGAGAGTGAGGGGGGAGGAAGAGAGAGGGGGAAAGGGGGGAGAGAGAGGGAGAGAGAAAGAGAGAGGGAGAGAGAGGGACTATTTGCGTGTCTTATCACTACATTCATTACTGTTAGGCGGTACGAAGTTCGCCGGGGCAGCTAGTATATACATATATGGGACAATCCACGTCACTTTTACCCCTGCTCTGTCCAAAATTGGTATGGACAAATTTTAATGACTAAGGGCGGAAAATGTTCGTCTTGAAAAGAGCTTTCGAAAGACGTGTGGCATATATGCGCAATTCAACATGGCGTCATGTTGAATCTGAAATTTTGAATTTATTCCTTTAAGCAGCCATAACTATGACGCCATGTTAAATTGCGCATATATGCCACACGCCTTTCGAAAGCTCTTTTCAAGACGAACATTTTCCGCCCTTAGTCATTAAAATCCGTCCATACCAATTTTGGACAGAGGGGGGGTAAAAGTGACGTGGATTGTCCCATATATGTATACACTACCCTCCATAAGTTTGGAAACACTCTATAAAATGCAATATACAGAAAATAGTACATAATAGTATATATGTTATCCAACAGGCTTTTAAAATAAAGAATTTTCATTAATTTTTACATTCCTTAAAGTAACCACACCTTTTGCTTTAATGACTGCCTTGCATATTCTCGGCATACGGTGGATCAACTTTTGGAGTTCAGTCAGGATACGTTTCCATTCTTGCTGGAGAACTTCCCAAAGGTGCACCTGTGACTTGTGATTTGCTGTTCAACAAATTCAACTCCGAGCATTTCGGTGTCGCGAAATAATCATCCGACATATTTTCGGCATGTACAAGTGTTGCAAGTGTCCCAGTGTCCCAGGTGGAAATATATATGATTATTTGAACGTCTTACGATATATTCATACCAAAAATCTGCACAGATCGCTGCCGTGCGACTATTTATCTGTAAATAGTCGCACGTACGGCATCTGTCATAGAGTGTTTCCAAACTTATGGAGGGTAGTGTATATATATATATATATATATATATATATGTGTGTGTATACATAGACACATATACTAGTATCGAGAACCAACTCAAGTTCCTTGTAAAACCTAGAGAATTAGCAGCGACCGGTAGAGACTGCCGTGTGCTTGTTAGAACTCTCCGCTCCGCTCCGCGCGTAGCCTAATAACTCTTGTTGCAAATATCTCAAATAATATGAGATATTTCAAAAAATTCATAAGAACATTTTTTGTAGATATGTGTCTGCTCTACAACTTTGATCTCTACAAAAATTTCAAATTCATCGTATTTGTGGAGAAAAACGAATTTGTTTATAAATTGTTAATAAAAAACATACTTAAAGATAGCGGAAAATGGCGAAATTTGAATATGTTGTTCAGTATATTTTTCTGAACACAATGACGTAATAAAACCTTGTGTTGCAATTTTTTCTAGGTCTAATCGTATTTTGACTGGACTATTATCCCCGTGGGGTTTGCAAGGCGTTTTTATAAGGAACGTTACCCAAACCTTTACACTACTACCCTCTCAGTAAGCAAAAAACCATTATTACAATGTTATTGCAACGATATTCTAGAACTTGTAATGTTGTTAAATATGTAGTTCTTAATGTTGTATAGAACATCATTATGAACATACTTTGACCACGATTCCGAAATTTCAGTAATGTTGAAATGGGAGTGCCATAACGTTGCAAATAACATTGCGCTAAGGTTTTTTTATCATTCCTGTAATGTTTTTGAGATAAAAATTTAAACGTACTATCAACTTTATTACAATATTATATTAAGATTACCGTAATGTTAATTCTAACATTTATTTAAAGTTCTTATTGATTTTATTTCTATTACAGGCAACATGTTTTCAATAAATATGCAATAGTAATAAAATATCTCAATATTTATTGTCTAATTATTATTTAGATTGCTTTTTTATAGACCAGGCTTGGACAACTTTGAGCTCCAGAACCACGACACTTCTTTTCTATCCACGGAAAGTAGGGGAGTGTCGTGGCTCCGGAGCTCGAAGTTGCCCAGGCCTGTTATATACCAATCTGCATTAGGGAATAATTCACTAATTATCATAAAAAAGTTTTATTTATATAAAAATAATATATACCATATATTACAGTTTTCAGTTTATCACAATAATATCTTTGGTGAAGATCACTGATCCTAGCGTAAGGTTTTGGGATAAAACTCATCTTTCAAATAAAAAAATTTGTTACTATAATAATGACTCGCGCCGAGCCACGCAAGTAAGATAATATATTTATCACTTCCTGAAAAATAAAAGTAGAATTAAATTAGTGAAAAAGCTACTTATAAATTATAACGCGGCAAACTATAATAATTTTATTTTATAGAGAGTATATACCGAAATACATTACATTACCTTTTTAATGTTTTTTTTCCTTACGGACATTTGCGAATCTGAACCACTCCATTACAAAGTGTTGAAAATCTTTTTTTGTATTCCGAGGGAATATTGCTCTAAAAGCTTCTGAAATAAGAAAAATTCAATACAGTTTATTGTTAGATGAAAGAAATAAATAATGTTAATTTAACGGCAATTAAAACTTATGATAATTATTGAAATAACACAAAAGTTTCCGGAATAGTTTACATATATACTAAATCGATCAAAAATATTAGTTTATGGATATATATATTTTTCTTTTATTTTGTAAGAATTTTTAACGTGTATGTGTGTCCTGCTTTTTAACGATGATTGCTACAAAAAATAAGGAGACAATTTTAATAAATTCTGAGACATAAAACATAGCATTTAATACTGCAAGTAATATATACATTTCTTAAAAACTTACTTACTTTTAATGCTCAGAATTGTGTGTGCGTATCTCCAATTTTATAATTATTTTTTTGGCCAGTTCATGAACACATGGAGGCTA